TCATAGTTATAAATTTCATCATTCACACACTATCAGCCAGCTCAGCTCATAGTTATGAATAACTTTTGTCATCCACACTCCCTTCATTAAATATGGTTTCTTGTGCGGCCCCATCTTTTTTGTAAATCAGTGAAAATGTGAGTTCAATGACGAGATAGATACACATTAAAATGCTATATGTGTTGTAGTAATTAGTTATTATTTTCAATGATAAAAATATATTCAAATGCTTAATTTTGCATTATTGACTCTAACCTTATCACTTGCACTCCCCCCCTCCCAAGAGATCATTTAGAAAATACTGCTTTACATAATATCAAGCTAAGTATCAACTAATATTGTAATTATAATCTCTGATATTTTGTATGTTATACTTTCCAAACTTCACTTGAAGTAACTTAAAATTTAAAGGTATTTTATATCGCAATGGGAAATGAAAATTAACAAAAACTAAATTAATTAAAAGTTAATCAAAAGAGAGGCTGACCTTTCCTGCAAGATAAACCATCTTAGTGTCATGATCGTAGTATGGAAACAAGACTCCAGATGAAGAATCAATATTTTCTAGCCTCAACGGACTAGTCAAGTCATACTGGAATGTTTTATTTCTTCATTAGTTAATATATAATAGTCAAAATACTTTTTAACATACAAATACTTTTAACTGATCTATTTTTCATTGCTTTATCATAGCCTAAGTATTTTTAGATAGTTCAGATGCCAACAATTCAGTTTTCTTCGATTCACATGGTATTTAAAAACTGTAGTTTTATTATTTTTCAAAACCCCACAAAAGCTAAATCTCTAAAAGTTAAATTGTAGTGCAAAAAATCAAGATTTACCTGTGACCACACAGCCCACTGTCGATCACTAAACTTAGAAAAGCCACTTGTAAAAATACGTCCAGTGTCACCTAAGAACACAGCTTTAAATGATTTGGACCCCTGGTGGCAAGGACCCTCCTAAAATAACAACAAAAAATTTTCACTCACTGTTAAACATTTAATTATGTCTTGTATAGCATTCGTAAACTTGACAAATTTTGCAGGAAAATGAAACATTAAAAGATCATTTCACTCAACATTTGCTTTAAATGTTTTCCAAGTGGCAAAAATATCCCCAGAATCACCACTGTCTTTAACATAGAAAAATATTAACAATATCAACAATGTCTTTATGTGCAACATACATCAACTCATAACACCAAACAATATCAACAATGTCTTATGTGGAACATACATTAACTCATGACACCAAACAATATCAACAATGTCTTTATGTGCAACATACATCAACTCATAACACCAAACAATATCCACAATGTCTTTATGTGCAACATACATTAACTCATAACACCAAACAATATCAATAATGTCTTTATGTGCAACATACATCAACTCATAACACCAAACAATATCAAAAATGTCTTATGTGCAACATACATCAACTCATAACACCAAACAATATCAACAATGTCTTATGTGCAACATACATTAACTCATAACACCAAAAAATATCACCAGTATCAACAATGTCTTTATGTGCAACATACATTAACTCATAACACCAAACAATATCAACAATGTCTTATGTGCAACATACATTAACTCATAACACCAAAAAATATCACCAGTATCAACAATGTCTTTATGTGCAACATACATCAACTCATAACACCAAACAATGTCAACAATGTCTTTATGTGAAACATTCATCAACTCATAACACCAAGAAACAAACTCCTAATGATGAACAAGAAGAAACAAACCTTAAGGACAGTCCCCTGTCGAGGGTCTACAATTCTCAACCTCTTGTCCTTACATGTAGTTGCCAGCAAGCTGCCATCACGGTTGAAAGACATAGAATATATTGAATCAGGATGACAATCAATGGTTCTCACAACCTCTCCTTTACTTATGTGCCAAACAAGAATCTGTTCCAAACAAAAAAGAAACACACACACTTTATTTTCATATTCTTCATCTTCTGTAACCACAATAAAAAAATGACTCCAACTTATTTTTGTTATTCACACAGCCTGTGTATGTACAAATGAAACACCTGTGTTATAGTCATAGTTTTTATTAAAGTCTGAAGTTTCGTCCCTCTAACTAGAATCTTCTAGGGTAAGTATAATCGTGAGACTAGAGGACCCTACAGTTATACTCTTCAAGACCTGTTTCTGTGTTTCAAATGAAATACTCATGTTACAAGTCACCAGCTGAAGAAGGCTTTACTGCTATTAACAAAAACAGAACTTTGCTGCATTACTAGCTTACAATAAAAACTTTCTCACATCTAGAGTAAGCCATCAAATGATTTCTAATGACCCAATAATGAACTTGTTAATTCTTAACCAATTTCTTCATTGCTTACTAAAATAAAAAGGAATACTGAAGGAAGTGGGTTTGAAGTTAGTAATATCCTGTTACGTGACATTACTAACTTCGAACCCATTTTTCAGTTTTCACATTATTTTCTAACTTGTTGAAACCTTCGTGGTCCTCACCAAATTATCAAAACCAGCACTCAGGAGAATATTTTCAGCTGTTGGATGCCACTCAATGTAGCCTACCCTCCGACGATGATGTTGCAGATCCATGATTGGTTTTGTCATGTTTGAACGCATCAGGCCTTCATCAGGAATATACCATAGTTTGAGCTACAAAATTGAGAAATTTCTGTTTTTTACAGCCAACACTAACAATGAGGAGTCAACACAATTTTAAATTTAGCATATGAAATGGCACTGAAAATGAAAGTTTCTCCTCAATTATAATACCATTTATACATACTCCTTTGTATCTATAAACTTTTCTACACTGTTATATTACCCACACTGGTATATTTATTAAATAAACTTCAAGAAAACTGAATTCACCCCCAGTGACTAAAGATGCAGCTAGTGAGAAATACTTGAAGATATGTTACCTCCATGAAGTAGCCCAGTTTAACATGTGATATATACATGTATGTAAAATATAATACCCAAGCAAAAGTACCCGTCCCCAGTGACAGAAAAAGTTTAACTTAATCTATCAATTTAAATTATTTCATGCACTTTAAAAAGGTTAATTGTGTTGCACTCTTGGTTTCACTCAGAACCAAAGCTCTGAGCTACTTATACTGCTCACCACAAAAATTAATTGTTGAGCTGCTAAACAATAACATATGGTAAATCTACATTTTTATTCTTTAAGTTACATCACATTTTGAAATATCAATGATAGTGTGATTAATTCCTAACAATTTAGTGTAGAATATCCGGCTTGTGAAATAAAATTTTTCATCAACATTATTCATGCCTGTTCTCCAGTCATTTCAAATGTGAATGTTGAGCTTTGCCAGCATGTGCAGCTTTTCAAACGGAAGACGGACAAACACTCGGAGATACACCACGGTTCACAATATACATATAAAAAAATACATGTGTACACACTGCTAATTAAACATGTCTACACACTGCTAATTAAACATGTGTAAACACTGCTAATTAAAGGAACATTTGGTTTTTTTAGTTTCCCAGAATATTTATGTTAACTGTTTTCAATAAAATCTTCCTGTTGTTGCAGACTGGACGTATAGAAGTCAATGCTGGGAAGGTCACAGGACACAGAGGACCAGTGTTAGACATTAAATGGAATCCTTTTAATGACAATGTGATTGCATCCTGCTCTGACGACTGCACGGTAAAAGTTCTGACAAGTTAATTAGCAGTGTGTGTACACATGAGTTTGAAGCTGTGATTAATGGTATTATTATTATTAATTTTTATAAAGTCACAAATTAAAGAATTCTAAGGAAGTACAAGTATCAAAATTCCATACCTTTTCAACAGGGATAACAAAAAACGAACCACCTCCAGCTGATTCTGTTACTATAGCAAGAAATTTAGGGTTGACTGCACAAAAGTGACTGTCATGTGCATTTTTTGTAATCTTAATACACTCATAACAACTGTCCTTTCTTGCTGGACTTCCAAAGACGTGTCGAAACTTGCTGCTACGCACTCCTCGAAATGTCATCTGGAATTTTTCAACAAATAAAAGTACGAAAGTTAAGGAACTTTGGCTAGCTATAATTTTAGTATCCATAAGTGTTAGTACGCTGCTATTAAATATGCACTACAAGACTGTATGTGTACATTGCATGTTACTTGCCGAGAATTACCAAAGAAGTAAATTTATAACAATTTCATTTGCTAAACCCATCATGCAAAGCTTAGTAGTATTGACCATATGACTTATCTTAAATATGAAATGTGTGTTATAATTTGCTTTGATTTAAAAAGAATAAAACAGGCACTGTATAATGATCCATGCCTGCTATTTTAAATGTATTTTCAAATACATATCAAGTGAAAGAACAAAGAAGTGGCTGATAACACATGATTATTAAAGTTGATGATACTTGATTATTAACAGCTGATAACACATGATTACATATATATATATATGTGTGTGTGTGTGGCTGATAACACATATATATATATTAGTGGCTGACAATATATGGTTATTAGAGATTCAGGATTGATGATACATGATTATTAACAGCTAATAACACATGATATATATATATTAGTGGCTGAAAACACATTATATATATATATTAGTGGCTGATGATATATGGTTATTAGAGGTTAATGAATGATGATACATGATTAATTAGTGGTGTTGAATAAGAAACTTAAGTCCTCAACAGATAACTCGTACATCTTATATATTTTATGTTACACAGCCTTGTTGGGTAAGAAACTTAAGTCCTCAACAGATAACTCGTACATCTTATATATTTAATGTTACACAGCCTTGTTGGGTAAGAAACTTAAGTCCTCAACAGATAACTCGTACAATTTATTTAGACTTATTATAAAAAATAGTAATCAACATTATAACACAAATCTCTACCTGCATCCCACTTTTCTCTCCCATCTTCAACTGAAATCAACCAATCAAAGCTGTTGAAACAAAATAAAAAGAAGCATACATTTAAGCAACCAACCAACATGCAGTGGTTTCAGACTCATAAAATAAAAATTCATCAACAAAATTAAAAGCATGAGATTTCAAAACTGAAACTAAATATATGCAGTGCCAATGTTTCATATAATTTATAGCAAACACCAATTTAAGGATATTTTCAAGCAGAGGCAAAAACTATTACTAGAAAAAAGCTTTAAATACTTATAATAAATTTCCCAGATCTTCACTTGAAAACTTTTTCCTCTTTTTGACATTGTAAATTCAATTTAAATTCACCTTATAAATTCAAAAATCTTCTAATCTACATTAGTTAATAAAAATTCTCATTATTTTTGTAAGTAGAAGCTGTGCAAGTTGTTTCACCAGTAACTCGAGGTCAAAGAACTGTGTTTATAAATTTATTATTATGGGTGGAAATAATAGAAAATTATGAAACTGCAAGAATACGTCTTTATTATTTAATTTTTTATTAGAGTATTAAATACATCTTGTATTGTAGTATTAAATACATCTTGTATTAGAGTATTAAATGCATCTTGTATTAGGGTATTAAATACATCTTGTATTAGAGTATTAAATG